TCATTAATTCAGAAAAACAGAGCAAATTTTTTTTCTTCAAGTGAATGCAATACGCCTCCGTAGCATTTCATATTAACTTATTAACTTTTTAAATCAACAGTTGTGTGAACATTAATGCACTGTGAACCAAAAGTGTCAAGTGTTGCTGAAATGAGTATGACTGTGTAGTTTCTGCTGTCTCGTGGGCCGCTGGTGTGTCACGCGCAGACGGGTGACCTCTCTCTCTGACGACTGCGGGATCGGAGTTTGCTCTCGGCGACCGACTGCACGATCTTCAGCTCCTCCACGTCCAGATCCTTCAGCAGGAGCAGAACGGCCTCGAGTGTGTGACACTGACATCAGGAACAACACACATGAGCCGTGTTGGGTGAACGCATCACATGATCACATTACTTTAGATGGAGCGAGTAACACGTTACAACTAATGCATGTAATCAGAGTATGCAATGCTTTATCAATTTACACATTCATATTCAAGTCAATTCTTAAAAAAGTTACTTTTAACTAAATTACACTTTAGTTTAATTTACTAAAACATTTTTTAAACTACTAAATCAAAATTCTCCTTAACAAAACATTACTTTCAACTTTCATGTACAGTCGGAAATCCATAATCTTTTGCAAGGCTTTCATAGCGAGGAAATATTCAAAGTGTTCAGAATGTAATAATATTCTCCATGTGTTTAAAAGAAAATGTTGTGCGCTGCTATTCTCGCGTTCGTACCTTCCTCTTGTCTCCAGCCTCTCTCGGGGACGCCAGCGAGGGGAACTTGTCTCTCGGCAGAAGCTTCATTCCCAGCTGAGCACGGATCTTACTGCACACACACACACACACACACACACACATCAGTGTGAGAGTGTGTGTCAGCTCCACATCCACACAACAGAAACACAGCGCAGATCTTACTTGGTTTCCTCCATACTGTAATTAAGAGGGTCGTTCTCGGACTCTGCTTCTGTAAGGCCATTGGTTGAGCTGGTGGGGGCGGGACCTGGAGGGCTCACAAGCTCCTCCCCTTCCTTTAATGCTTGTGCCAGTTCCTCCTCTGTAACCACTGACAGAACAAACTCATGAATATTCATATATACAGTCAAACCTAAACTTATTCAGTCACATTATCACAGTTTATTCGCGATAGTTTAGACAATGGTGATGAAATTTGACTGGAATATTGTCCGTCCTCTCACACACGAAATATGTCACAGTTTACTTTATATTGCTCTCCTCACTTACAGAAATGAACTCTATACACACACTATACAATAGATTATATCTGGTGTCTGAATCATTTTTGGTTTGGCAGACTAACTTTATTCTAGATCTGCTGTAAAGCCAAACACTCTCTGTGACTGTAATCTCGTTAAAGCGCTGTATAAATGGAGATGCGACTCTTTGAGCTTTATTCGTCACTAGGTGCGTTACTATGACAGATTTACGCGAAACTTTTGCGATTTTTTTTTTCTCTAAATGCCAACAAAAAATGATTGCGAAATGTTACACGACTAAAACGTGATTTTTTCCTCTCGCGAAAATCACTCCAATCATCATGGCGACGGATGTTGGGATTATGTATATCCCAGCCGCCGCCGGACATTATTATTAAAGGGTTAGTTCACCCAAAAATGAAAATTCTGTCAGTATTTACTCACCCTCATGTTGTTCAACCCCGTAAGACCTTCGTTCATCTTCGCAACACAAATTAAGATATTTAAGATATTAAGATCACTCCTGTATACTAGTCCATAGGCTTCTTGAGGGAATGACTCTTGCTGGCATCGAAAAGTCATTAAAGACATCGTTAAAATAGTCCAAGTGACTACAGGAGCTCAATCTTAACTTTATCAAACGACGAGAACACTTTTTGTGCACAAAAATAACGGCTTTATTTCAACTATTGGTTTATTTCTCCCTCTGCGCGAGTCAGGTTACTAGTTTAATAGCGTAAGCTTCTGTTATTGTACGTCACACGCATCACACACATGACCAGCGTCGGCCAATAGTGAGCCTACGTGTAACGTAGCTTTACGCAATCACACTACGTTAACTGACTACAGGCCCATGGAGAAGGAAGTGAATAGTTGAAATAAAGTCGTTATTTTTGCACACAAAAAGTGTTCTCGTCGTTTGATAAAGTTAAGATTGAGCTCCTGTAGTCACTTGGACTATTTTAACGATGTCTTTAATGACTTTTCGATGCCAGCAAGAGTCATTCCCTCAAGAAGCCTATGGACTAGTATGCAGGAGCGATCTTAATATCTTAAATATCTTAATTTGTGTCCAGAAGATGAACGAAGGTCTTACGGGGTTGGAACAACATGAGGGTGAGGAAATACTGACAGAATTTTCATTTTTGGGTGAACTAACCCTTTAGCTTCGATGTGGAGACGTGTGTGTGTGTCTATGGCAAACCGTTTTAACTTTTATTCATTTCCAGGATATGAATTCTTGATATCAACAATTGTATTTTCACTAGTGAAATGTCACCATAGGCTGCCATTCAAAACCAATAGTTGATATCAAGACTTGATTTCTTACTAGTTGAAATTCCGATTTGACCTGCGAAGCCCCTCATGATGCGAGCGTAAAAACTATTTTGATAGTGAAGCGAAATTGGCGTGTTTCCATTGGCCGTATTTTCTCCAGTGTGACGTAGAGGCGGCGGCCGCTGCTCTTACGCTGGTTGTCCAGCTTGTGCAGTCCGGGCAGGGTCCTGATGACGGTCAGCCGGTATGTGCTCGGGTCGCTAGCGTAACAGCACGGGTTCTCCGCGAGCCACAGGACCTTCAGGTAACCCAGACCCCTCAGATGCCGGAGTTCACACAGCGAGCGGATGTCGTTGCGTCGCAGGTAGAGTTCGCTGAGATGCTGACAGGACGAGATCGGCTCCAGAGACGAGATGTGATTCGCACTGAGAGAGATAACACTGAATTCATTTAAAGAATGTACTAATTTAAGGCAGAAATAATGAGCTCATTGAAGTAATGAATATTTGTTCGTTAACAAATGATTATGACATTGAGAAGAACGGAGCGCTGGTGCTTGTGAGATTTATAATTGATTATTCCCAGAAAGCTGAAAACAAACCTCAGAGTGAGAACCTCGACATTAGGAATCTGCTCAAATATGGAGATCTGTGGAGAAATGAACACTTATTTACCTTATTTATATATATAGTCATATAATAGATGGGTATACAGTTGTAATCGAAATGAATCATTTACTTTTGGGATTATTCTTTTGACCATATATCTAAAATACAGTCAAATTTGACTTGCTCGCTACGCAGATCTGTGCTGTTGTGGGAGATTATATTCAGGGGGTTGAATAATTATAAGACTGTTGAAGTTATTAAATGTTGCATTTTCAGTTTAATTTGGGAGAAAACAGTCTCAATTACTTTTTATTTCAATTATTTCTGTTGATTTGTTCATCGCAAACAGCTTAACGTCTGTATATTTTACCAATAAACCTGATTTGCAATGGGGGGTTGAATAATTTTGATTACAATTGTATTATGGAATATGAATATGGAAATCATTCAGTACCACAGTATTACCAATGCTAACTATGAAAGCCCATTTACGCCACATAAAAAAGAAATCATGCTTTTGTAAATCAAATAATTATGACATAAAAAATAGTGCTTTCAAATACACACACACTATAAACAAACTTTTATGTTAGATGCGATTAATCTATTTGTTAATCTACGTTACAACGTCATATTTATAATATGAAAACTGGAAATTGACATACTATGTCAAAATTATGTCTTTATATCATTTATAAACTTGGTATGTCATACTTTCGATTTACCAAAGCCTGATTTTTGTCTTGTGTGACAGAAATGGTCTTCCATAGATAACAGTGATGCAATATAATGGAATTTATTTGTAATATAATGAGATTTAAAACATTAAAAAGAAGAAAAAAGATTCAGTACTCACGTCTGTCAGATTACAGCCCCTGAAACACACGAAGATGTTATTAGAGAATACAGTAGTTATTCAGGAAATCTCATCACACAGGATAAACCCAACAACACAGACTAATGTTGAAGGAGAAGTCTTAACTAAACGACTGGTTTTCATCAGGCTAGCAGCTAACAAACCGCAGAACACACACCAGCAGTTTAATTTCTTCACACTTTCCAGGTCCGATGCTTTAGCCCGAGCCAGAACAAGTTTCCGGGTTAATTTCATCTTGGTAAATATTAATGTTTTGTTTGTAAGTGCGTCAATGTTGATCCCGAACGCGTCTGGGGAACATCACATCTCTGCTTTCCGTAATCAGTCACTGCGCATGCGCGTCACTCCGCGTCCATGACAACAGCGCGTCTCCTTTCGCTCAGTTCACAGATCAACAGCAGAGGGCGACAAAACAACAACTATATAAGAAATAAACCTAATGAAATAAACTCACTTTAAAATAATAAATACACATTGTCCATGAAATGATTTTATCAGTAATTTTAAAGACGGGGTTTCTCCATTATGCTGTTTTTGTAAAGAGGAAACTTATTAAATTGTACATTTATTTTTTGGTCCAAAGTTTCTGTTTATTTTTGAGGTGTTTTACAAATTTGTCGCTATAACTGACACAATAGGATTGTTAATGGATTGTGATACCGGTTTACTAGAAATGGATAATATAACTAAAATGTTTATTTTATTTGGGAAATATCAAATACATAAAGCAAAATGGTGGACAATTTTCCACTGACCTTAAAGTTTTTACGACTCTGACATTTTTCCATGTTGTTATTGTAATAAAAAAAATACCGTTTTCGCATAATAACACTTTTTAAGGGTTAATGTTTTCCCACTGACTCCCACTATAGCATTGCTATTTTAACTCATTAACTTTTTACGTTTAAAACATTACACATTATGTCATGAAATGACTGCTTCAGTCAGCATTAGTTTGAGGTTTTTAGAGTAACTATCAGGAAGTCGAGTCTTGCATTAATTGTTTCATAACTCAGTTTAAGTCCAATAGCTATTCGATCATATGTAATCTTAGTTTAATTATGGAGATAATTCAAAAAAAAAATCAGAGAAAATTATAGCTCGAGGCAGGAGCGCGCAAACAAACATGGGGCGGGGGCGTACGTGCGCGCCGCCGACACAATTCGTGCGCTACGTGCGGTGAATGCATAGCAGAAGCAGAAGCTTTCAACTGGGAACCAGTGCGAGTGTTTTCCTCTGTGACAGGTTTATATTAGTGATCTTCCATCATGCATGTGGACTTCGAGAAGCTGCGGATGAGCGGCGCGGGGAAAGCCATCGCGGTCCTGACGAGCGGCGGGGACGCGCAGGGTAAACAACATCATCACAATAAAAACATTCTGGACAAAAGAGCGTTTCCGACGCGAGAGTGCGATGCATTTTAAACGCTTCAGTTTCAGTACATTTGCAAGTCTATACACACTTCATGTGTGTGTGTGTGTGTGTGTGTGTGTGTGTGTGTGTGTGTGTGTGTGTGTTACTACCTGTTGTAGAGGAATGCACTCGTGCAAACACTGCTAAACTCTGCACTTCATGATACGAATGCAAAGGTGTTTCTGCTCGGTGTGTTGTGTGTCATTTCCCGTTTTCCTCAAATATTTCAGTGTTATATGAGAGTATCTGGGGCAGAATAATGCATGATCTGACTTATGTAACTTATTTGAGCAGCACTTTCTGTCATGATCCCTATCTAGGGTCGCTTCTTGTGCTCCTCTTGTTTGTTCGTGGAATTGTTTGTACTTTAAATTGGCTCTGCATGTGGTGTGTGTTGCCAGATTGCATTGTGCATTGCATACAGTGTGTCAAATCATGTACCTGTAGTTGTTGCATTAAACACTTATGCACTTTGGTGTGTGTGTGTGTGTGTGTGTGATTTCTGCAGGTATGAATGCTGCTGTTCGAGCTGTAACACGCATGGGCATCTTTGTAGGTGCTAAAGTCTACCTGATCTATGAGGTAGGAGCTTATGCTGGGCGAGAGACACTGAGAGCTTGTGTGATTTCTCTCTCTCTCAAATAAAATTAGAAAATGTGCTTGATTGTTGGCGGGACAATTTTACAGTTTTCAGTGTATTGCCAAATCATTTCCAATCATCATATAAATACATGCATACATTGAAAAAAATTAATCAATGAATCTCTCTCTCTCTCTCTCTCTCTCTCTCTCTCTCTCTCTCAGGGTTATCAAGGCCTGGTTGATGGAGGAGATCATATCAAACTCGCCAACTGGCAGAGCGTCACCAACATCATTCAGCTTGTAAGTCTGAGTCACTTTTCCTCATCTTCATCGCTCTTCAGAGTGTGTGTGTGTGTGTGTGTGTGTGTGTGTTGCTCCAGTTCTCCTCTATGTCAGTGTCAGTGTTCCTGAACTCCTGAAACGCCTCCACTGTATCTCGAGTTTCTCCCGGGAACACATCACAATATTCCTCATTATAATAATTCATGCGCAGAATAAAGGGGCGGGGCCTGCCTGAGTTAGTAGTGTGTTAAACTGGCAGTTATGGAAAGGGGCGGGACTGTCAATCATCCTCCTCTGACTGACAGCAGGATCGAGATTAAAGCGGCAGATTAAGTGTGAGATTACAGCAGCGTTTGCATCACGTCTATGCTCACACACACACACACACACACACACACACATCTGCAGACTAATCAAGAACACAGCTGAGTTTAGAATGGATTATGAGCTCAATTCTCACTATATACTGTATAATTTTTGTTTAAAAACAGTGTGAGAATCGTGCATTATTCTGTCAAAGTCTGTTAGAATAATCCAATATAACAATTATGTAAATGTATTATTATAATTTCATAATCAAATTGAGATGTTCAAATGTTAATTTGAAAGTAAGGGCCTTCGTCTCATAGAGCAGTGGTCAGGTCTGTCTCTTCAACCAGTTTATCCAGTCTTACAATTCAATAAGTTGAGAGTGTGTTTCTGTGTGTGATGGGTACGGTTGGGTTAGTGTGTGTGTGTGTGTGTGTGCGCGCCGGTGATCGTGTGTTCCCTCCTCCTGTGTCAGGGTGGCACCATCATCGGCAGCGCCCGCTGTAAGGCCTTCATGACGCGAGAGGGCCGTTTATCCGCGGCGTTTCACCTGCTCCAGCGCGGCATCACCAACCTGTGTGTGTGTGGAGGAGACGGCAGCCTCACCGGGGCCAACATCTTCCGCAGCGAGTGGAGGAGCCTACTGACAGAGCTGGTGCAGCAGGGTACACACACTTCACTGACACACACACACTCATACGCTCGCTCGCTCACTTTCACACAAACACACACGTGTGTGTTTTCCAGGCCGGATCACGGACTCTCTGGCGCAGCAGTACACTCATCTGAACATCGTGGGTTTGGTCGGATCCATTGATAATGATTTCTGTGGAACTGACATGACAATCGGAGCCGACTCTGCTCTGCATCGAATCATGGAAGTTATTGATGCCATCACCACCACGGCACAGAGGTCACACACACATACACAGAACACACACACATACATGTGTATTTTGTCCAATAGCTATTCGACACGCAGCCTCTCTCTCACTCTCTCTCTCTCTCACTCTTTCTCTCCTGTGTTTCAGTCATCAGAGGACGTTTGTGCTGGAGGTGATGGGCCGCCACTGCGGGTGCGTGTCAGTTACTGTTATTCTTCTTGAGGCCATGCGGATCCGGTCTGATCCAGTGTGTGTAGATCCGGTCTGATCTGGTGTGTGTGGTTCTGATCTGGTGTGTGGCTCTGATCCGGCCTGATCCAGTGTGTGTGGGTCTGATCCAGTCGGTGTATGTGGGTCTGATCCAGCGTGTGTGGGTCTGATCTGGTCTGATCCGGTGTGTGTGGGTCTGATCCGGTGTGTGGGTCTGATCTGGTGTGTGTGGGTCTGATCCGGTGTGTGTGTGTCTGATCCGGTGTGTGTGGGTCTGATCCGGTATGTGTGTGTCTGATCCGGTGTGTGTGGGTCTGATCCGGTCTGATCCGGTGTGTGTGTGTGTGTCTGATCCGGTGTGTGGGTCTGATCTGGTCTGATCCGGTGTGTGTGTGTGTGTGTCTGATCCGGTGTGTGTGGGTCTGATCCAGTGTGTGTGGGTCTGATCTGGTCTGATCCGGTGTGTGTGGGTCTGATCCAGTGTGTGTGGGTCTGATCTGGTCTGATCCGGTGTGTGTGGGTCTGATCCGGTGTGTGGGTCTGATCTGATGTGTGTGGGTCTGATCCGGTGTGTGTGGGTCTGATCCGGTGTGTGTGGGTCTGATCCGGTATGTGTGTGTCTGATCCGGTGTGTGTGGGTCTGATCCGGTCTGATCCGGTGTGTGTGTGTGTGTGTCTGATCCGGTGTGTGTGTGTCTGATCCGGTGTGTGTGTGTGTGTGTCTGATCCGGTGTGTGGGTCTGATCCGGTGTGTGTGGGTCTGATCTGGTCTGATCCGGTGTGTGTGGGTCTGATCCGGTGTGTGTCTGATCCGGTGTGTGTGGGTCTGATCTGGTCTGATCCGGTGTGTGTGTGTGTGTGTGTCTGATCCGGTGTGTGTGTGTGTGTGTCTGATCCGGTGCGTGTGGGTCTGATCTGGTCTGATCCGGTGTGTGTGGGTCTGATCCAGTCGGTGTATGTGGGTCTGATCCAGTGTGTGTGGGTCTGATCTGGTCTGATCCGGTGTGTGTGATTCTCCAGGTATCTGGCTGTGGTCTCGGCTCTGGCGTCCGGCGCCGACTGGCTCTTCATCCCGGAGGCTCCGCCAGAGGACGGCTGGGAGGATCACATGTGCGCGCGACTGGGAGAGGTCAGAGTGCGGCTGACGGTCCTGTGCGCTGTTCACACACGCTCAGGGCTCAGGCGGAACTGGACTAATGAATATAATCATACGTTTTTATATCACCAAAACATTTTCTAGTAAATATTAAATATTATTATAATAAAAAATATTAGTACTGCTAAATAAGCAAAATAAGAAATTACTACTAAAATAAAAAAATTACTGTAAATTAAAAAAAAATTATAATTAATTGTATAATTTTTTTTTTTTTTTACATTACAGCTGTAAAATGTATTTATGGATATTTATGGCTGTCTTAATTTCTTTATTTTCGAATCAACTTTTATTTTGACACATGGTAAATCACCGCATTTACTGATCTCAGAGTAATAGTGCAATATTTTAGCTTGTGTTTGACTTTAGTGTGTGTGTGTGTGTGTGTGTGTGTGATCAGAGTCGCAGTAAAGGCTCTCGTCTGAACATCGTGATCATCGCAGAAGGAGCGATCGACAAACACGGCCAGCTGATCTCCTCCAACTACGTCAAAGATGTGAGACTCCGATGATGATCAGCTGTGTGAGAGCTCCAGACTCGTGTTCTAACCGTGTGTGTGTGTGTGTGTGTGTGTGCGTGTGCGTGCGCAGCTGGTGGTTCAGCGGTTGGGTTACGACACACGGGTCACTGTACTGGGTCACGTTCAGAGAGGAGGAACACCGTCGGCCTTTGACAGAGTCCTGGTGAGTCCATGTTCACCTCTCACACACACACACACACACACAGACTTACTCAGATGCAGCACAGATGAACAAATTTGTTGTGTTATTTCATCTCATCTTAGTTTATGTGTGTGTGTGTGTGTGTGTGTGTGTAGAGCAGTAAGATGGGTGTGGAGGCTGTGGTCGCGCTGCTGGAAGCGACTCCTGAGACGTCAGCGGTCGTGATCGGTCTGTCGGGGAATCAGGCCATGCGTCTGCCACTCATGGAGTGTGTGAACATGGTGAGTTAAACACGCCGTGACCCTTGACCTCCAGTGCAGAGAACACGTGTGACACGGAGTGTGTGTTTCTGTGTTTTAGACGAAGGAGGTTCAGAAAGCCATGAATGAGAAGCGGTTTGAGGAGGCCATTCAGCTGCGGGGGAAGTGTGTGTCACTCGTGTGTGTGTGTGTGTGTGTGTGTGTGAACGAATCTCTGAATCTCGCAGTTGTTTCTCCATCGCAGGAGTTTCGAGAACAACTGGAACACGTACAAGCTCTTGGCCCATCATCACCCGGCGCTCTCGAAGGTCTCTCCCCCCTCCACACACTCTCTGTGTGCTTTAAATAAACACTCATAATACATATCTAATATAAGGATAAATATACATATAAAAAATCAAATAAATATATATATATTATGTGTGTGTGTTCCTCCAGAGCACACACTCGATGGCGATCCTGAACGTGGGCGCTCCGGCCGCTGGGATGAACGCTGCTGTGAGGTCGGCGGTGCGTGTGGGACTCGCTCAGGGTCACGTGGTCTACAGCGTCCACGACGGCTTCGAGGGTCTGGCCAATGGCGCGGTGAGAATCTCAGTCACATGATCTGATCACCCCTCTCTCTCTCTCTCGATGGACTGACACTGAGTGTTCCCGCAGCTGACGGAGGTCCACTGGCACGACGTGGCGGGATGGACGGGTCAGGGCGGGTCGCTGCTGGGCACCAAACGGTCAGTTCTCTCAGACGAACCCTCCGTTCAGTGTGTGTGTGTGTGTGTGTAGCGCTTTCCACAACACACACCGTCTCAACACCGCTGTACAGAGAACACACGAGTCTGTTATCAGAGACGCTCTGAGTTACGCGATTCAGAGATGAACATATACAAAACACAGCTACACAAAACATATTCATTTAAGGCGGAAACGAAGAGCTCATTGAAGTTATGAACACGTGTGTGTTAACAAATCAAACATCATCTTCATCCAGTGTGTGCTGCCGTGCTGCTGTCAATCACTCTAGCCCCGCCCACTGTACAATCTCATTGGTTCATCTGGCTCCCCGTATCTGCATATTAAACATCACCTAAACTTTGATTGGCTGAGATCGCTGGGAAATTGTGATGACTGTTAGATCCACACAGTTATTCGTTCATTTCTTGATGTTTCATGGGTTTAGAACTCTTCCCAACTCCTGCATGGAGAGCATCGTGGAGAACATCGGAAAATTCAGCATTCAGTCGCTGCTGGTGGTTGGGGGATTTGAGGTACAGTGAGTGTGTGTGTGAGAGAGTGTGTGTGAGCGTGTGTGTGTGAGAGAGTGTGTGTGAGAGTGTGTGTGTGAGAGAGTGTGTGTGTGTGTGTGTGTGTGTGTGTGTGTGTGTGTCAGAGAGTGTGTGTGTGAGTGTGTGTGTGTGTGTGTGATGAGTCTCGGTCTGTCGCGCAGGCGTATGAAGGCGTCCTTCAGTTGGTTGAAGCTCGAGCGCGCTACGATGAGCTGTGTGTCCCCATGTGTGTGATCCCGGCGACCATCAGCAACAACGTTCCCGGCACAGACTTCAGTTTGGGTGCAGACACCGCCGTGAACGCCGCCATGGAGGTGAGACTCGCTCGCCCTGATCCGGTGTGTGTGTGTAACGGTGTGTGTGTGTGTAACGGTGTGTGTGTGTGTAACGGTGTGTGTGTCTGTTTCTCAGAGCTGCGATAAAATCAAGCAGTCTGCGTCGGGAACCAAGCGTCGCGTCTTCATTGTGGAGACGATGGGCGGATACTGCGGTTACCTAGCAACCACCACCGGCATCGCCGTGGGCGCCGACGCCGTCTACATCTACGAGGAGCCGTTCGGCATCCGTGAGCTGGAGGTGCGTTTAATGATCAGAACACACGACACACAGGGGAATACGGTTTCGTTTAAAGTAACTGTTCTCTATGTGGATATCGTGATGTTGATTTTTTTTCCTCAGACAAACGTGGAGCACTTGACGGATAAAATGAAGAACGATATTCAGAGAGGACTCGTGCTGAGGTAACGCGTCCCACAATCCCTCAGTGCAAGCAGTGTGTGTGTGTGTGTTCTACAGTAATGTTTGCTGATGGTTTCACGGACTCGTGGAGGCCAGAATCAGTGTGTTTATGTGTTATCAGTGTTATCAGCTGTGTTACACACTCGCGTCCGCTCGCTAAATCACTCCGACACGTCAAACTCACTCTGTGTTTCACTCATTCTGTTCTTCTGAGGAATATTGAACCTTTTTGTGTGCAACACACACACACACACTGTTAGAGACACAAATGTCACACACTGTTACACACACAGAACAGCTCTGCAGTGTGATTTCTCCCACATGAGCACAGGAGTGTGTGTTGCGTGACTGATCTGATCTCGCACTCGCGCTGATGTGTGTGTCGGTTCTCTGCAGGAACGAGAAGAGCCACAAGCACTACACCACTGACTTCATCCACAACCTGTACTCCGCCGAGGGCAAGGGTGTGTTCGACTGCCGGGTCAACGTCCTGGGGCACCTGCAGCAGGTGAGAGGTCATGTGACCCCGTGACCCTGTGACTCAAGGGGTCAGGCGTCGCTAATGTGTCCTTTTGTTCAGGGTGGCGTTCCCACACCGTTCGACAGGAACTTCGGCACTAAACTGGGAGTGAAGTCTGTGCTGTGGCTGACGGAGAAGATGAACGCCACCTACAGGCAGGGTGAGGAACTGCACACACGCACCGCCCTCACTGCACCGAGCTGACATCAAAATAAGAAATGTTGCTTATTAAACCTGAACTCAATATAATATAAAGCTAATGATAAAAAAAAAAACAGATAGCAAAATTACAACAACTGAACACTATTACAGCTAAATAGAAATATAAAAAACAAAAATAATGATAAAAACATGAAATTTCAAAAACTGAAATCAATAAATAAAAATTACAGCTATGTAGGAATATAAAAATTATGAAAATGCATAACAAAAATGGAATTAAATTAATTCAATTATAAAAGCACAAAAAATGACTAAAGTTGAATTAAATAATTACGGCTAAATATAAATATTAAAATGATAATAAAAGCACATTAAAAATCTTTTTTTTAAAAAGATCAAATATCATAAATTTTATAAAATTGAAAAGAAATAAATAGAGCTAAATGGAAGTTTTTTAATAAAAAGAAGAGTAAAATGATTTGAATCATGTAATTACAAAAACTGAAATAAATATAAATGACAACTAAATGGAAATATTAAAAAAATAACATAAAAACAACCAAATTACTAAAACTGAGTTAAATAAAATTATAGCTAAATAGAAATAAAATAATAATAAAAGCACAAACTTAAAAATTAACATGTGTAAGTATGTTAAAAATAAAAATTTAATTGAATGAATGGACATTTTAAATGGAAGTTTAAAAAAACCCAATAAAATGATAAAAAAAATTAACAAAACTACTAAAACAGTAATAAATATAAATTTTTTATGAAAAATATTCAAAATTGATAAAAGATTACAACAAAATTACAAAAGGTAAAATGAGTATAAATTACAGCTAAATTGAAATGTAGTAAAAAAACAAATAAAATGCACTGGATGATGAGTGTGTGTGTGTGTGTGTGTGTTGCAGGCCGTGTGTTTGCCAACGCTCCGGACACGGCGTGTGTGATCGGCATGAAGAAGAAAGTCATGTCGTTCAGTCCCGTCACCGAACTCAAGACACACACCGACTTCGAGTGAGTGATGCGAGACTCCCTCGTTCATGATCAACGCTGATTAACACACCGTGATGTTAACACACACTTAGTGCACATTATACTGTATTAAAGATGCACTAAGCATTATTTATGCACTGTGTGTGTGTGTGTGTGTGTGTGTGTGTGTGTGCGTAGGCACAGGATGCCGAGGGAACAGTGGTGGCTGAACCTGCGTCCGATGCTGAAGATGTTGGCGAAGTATCAGACCAGTTTTGACGAGTACGTGACAGGAGAGATCGAGCATGTGACCCGCCGGACCCTCAGCATCGAGACGGGCTTCTGATCCGCCTCTCCAGCAGGAGGCGCTAGTGCTAACAATCCTGACCTCTGACCTCATCATGTGACACACTGACGTTTCCAGCAGGGGGCGCTAGTGCTAACAATCCTGACCTCTGACCGCTCACCCCATCATGTGACACACTGACATCAGTGCTTCTGATCCGCCTCTCCTAGGGGGCGCTAGTGCCAACAACCCTGACCTCTGACCCCTCACCCCATCATGTGACACTGACATCAGTGTTTATCAAGTACTTCCATCATGAGTAACTCAATATGAAGAGATTAGTGTGTGATTGTATTAGTGCTTGTGCCTTTGTCTTGTGTTTGTTGTAATATTTCCTTCATAGCTGTGAATCTTCCTATCTGAGAGGGTGTGTGTGTGTGTGTGGTGTGTGTGTGTGTGTGTGTGTGTGTGTGGCTGAAGGGATTTATTTGTGAAGTGATGTTGAATTAGAGAAGTGTGTTTGTCAGTGTTTTCCTCAGATTGTGATGATCATTCCTCAGGAGTTTCCTCTAGAAATGCTGCCAGTGTTTCTCCTGAATCATGACGATTACAGATTAATCGGATCCATGATTTAACCCAGCAAATAAATATAGATGTTTTCTGCTGATTTCTGTGTTTTGTACTGTATTTCTACCACACTTTTACTGAAGCTACATAAAATCAGTGACAATTATTGTTTTAATAATTATAATTAATAAATTTGATGATAATAATGTAATGTAATTAATTTGATAAAAATGTATTGTTATATTTAGACATTTATAGTTATACAATAAAATATTATTGTATATAATAAAATAGTTAATATAAAATTAAATGTATAGTCTATAGACCATTTCACAAGATGTAAACAACACTGGTCCAGAAGCACTGCCTGTTTCAGTTCTTTAACACTACATAAAAGCTGGGATAAAATACAACCAACAGAACATTTAAAACTGGATCAAAAAGTTAAACAAACATCTTTAAGATGTTTTCTTTACATGTGAAATAAAGAAAACAGTTACAAACTGAAACAGGAAGTGCTTCTGGACCAGTGTTGTTTACATCTTGTGAAATGGTCTATAATATGCTCAAATAATTTATTTACACGCATATATAAATAATTTTTAAACGAATTGTATTATAATTACATAATTTTAGTGTATATATACATATATAATATGTGATAGAATATTGTTTTGTAAATATATATGGAAATTATACTTTTAAAAAGGAATGACGCACACATATACACAAACCCACACACACGCGAATACATATCTATATTTAAAAGCTATTGCTGGATGTTTCCTGCGATGATTATGTATTACCCTGACAAATATTTATAATAACATTCTGTGTGGTGTTTCCGCTCGCTTGCTGTAGTTGGTCCTCCGGTATCCCATAATGCTTCACCGTGGCCGCTGGTAAAGCGCGCATGCGCAGTTGCTCGGCCTCTTTTGGATCCGCACCTCTTCTGCTAAAATGGTGAGTGTTTGTGGCCCGAGAGAGTAATCTTCAAACATCTTCTCTGTCGCTCTCATATAACTGCCGTTTCTCCTTACTCGGTGTTTGGATGAGTTAATAAAACATTATCTCTGCTGTATGTGTTGATATAGACGATGATAACGTCTTTAAATGTTATTCAGTGCGTCGCGGCTCCGAGTCCGTCACTAGTGTTTCAGCTCAGAGAAATCGCGCGTTTAACGTGTAAATGAGGTGTAGTTTGGCGTAACGATTATAGTCATAACAGCAGATCGTTTGAGCAGAATAAAGTTTATTATCAGTAGTTAATATCAGTTGTTTAGCTTCGTTAAGTTGTCAGAAAAGAATAATGCAGTGTAGATCTTGTTTAGTTCATGTCCTTAACTCGGTTGTGTAGTCTCTTGTGTTTTTTGAAGTAAAATAAACTTTTCCTTTAAACACTGAGATTATGCTTCCCCAATATAGTTGTACAGCTCTTATATAAATGCTTATTTAACGTTAATGTTGCAGCATTAGTTCAGTTATTCAACACTGAAGTCGTTTCTGCAAATTCAGATCCACTGCAAAATGAAATTCTCTGAACCAAATGTGTCCCATTTATAATTTTCCATATTGATATGTGTCCTATGTAGAGTATCTCATATATTTATTAAAGTCTCTGTGAAGTATCTGATGTTTATTGATCTCTCAGTGAAGTGTCCCGTGTTGATGATGTTTCTTTGCTCGTCAGGCCAAGCGCACCAAGAAGGTGGGGATTGTGGGGAAGTACGGCACCCGTTACGGTGCGTCCCTCAGGAAGATGGTGAAGAAGATTGAGATCAGCCAACACGCCAAATACACCTGTTCATTCTGTGGAAAGGTGAGGCGCAGTCCTGTGTCGCTGTTTCGACAAAACATTCTTTTGCACATGAATATTGTGACCGGAGTGAAGCGCAAAGTTTTGTTTATAAAATAAATGTATAGCCATTCAATGCTACATCGCATCCATGGAAACTTTTGGATTCGTGCCGAATGAGATGCGTACAAGGCAATCTTGCGATCTGGTTGCCCGATTATCAGCGGATTTAACAATGTTCCACTTGACATGGAATATCATGTTTCTTTTCCCAAATCTTCACTCTTTTTCGCAGGGGTTTATAAACGTTTCTTCCTTTGGTTCGCTTTTAATTTGTCCTACAGCGCTATTTGTTACCTTAACACAGTAAAAGTGTGAATATAGTAGGCCTGATTATTTTTACATTCACATCAAGGCAGTTCAAGTTTAGCTGTTTAACTCATTTCACACACGCTTGGGATTTTAGGTTCGCTTTCTCTGGCAGCACAAAATCAAGCGTCGTCTGAATGTCTCGACCTGTGGGAGATAAAATTCACTCTTCAGACCTTTTACATCATCAGAAGAAAACATGAAGATATTAGAAAAGAGAATGACTGTCTGTATCGTGTCCCACATCTCAAAGCGCAGAGTGGTGGGATATATGATGTATCTTTGTCGGGAAATGTAAAATGTTTTTAATTTCCTTAGATTGATTAGGTTCCCAATATTTCGCCCTGCCATCGTCATCCGGTAAAAAGAAATGAGGCTCTAGGAGGAACTTATTCTGATTCAAGATTATTAAAACTATAATGATGATGTGCACCTGTAATTCATTCAGAATAAACACTGCAATATTCCGTACAAATTATGAATTGTCTGTTTCTGTGTGTTCAGACTAAGATGAAGAGAAAGGCTGTTGGTATCTGGCATTGTGGATCCTGCATGAAAACTGTGGCTGGAGGCGCCTGGACATACAAGTAAGAGCGAACGCCATTCCTGATCAGAGCTTCATCTCATGATCATAGCGCTCGTATAATGCCCTGTTCACCAGATGTCAAATAAGTCTCTGATGTCCCTGAAACAAATCTCTCCCTTTGCTTTGAGTCGGAACTTTGCAGATTTTGTTTACACTCACTACAGCCACTTTGCACACTCACTACAGCCAGACAAGTCACATGATTATGAAACACGCCTTTAAAGGTTCTAAAGTTTAGCTCTGTTTGTTCCACAGCACAACGTCAGCCGTCACGGTGAAGTCTGCCATCAAGAGGCTGAAGGAGCTCAAGGACCAGTAACCGCACCGGTTGTGTACAGATCTTCGTTCCTTATCGGACTGTGTTTCTCTGTGGCTCGTTGGAACATCCCATAATAAACCTGAGTCTAGAGCGGGACCTGCTTCTGTGTTTCATTGCAAAACTAAACGTTTGAACTCGCATGATCGTGGTGTTGATTTGCTTTTCTAAAATAATCAGATTTAATCCGGGAAAATTAGTTGAAGACATTGATTGAGGGGAAGGGAATGTGAAAACAAAATTGAGTTGCGCTGAAGAGTGTGACGGTGGTTCTGGAAGTAGAAACATTCACATAGTAATATAAAAATAAATGCTGTCAAATTGATTAGTTGCATCTAACAAAGGCTTAAGTGTGTAAAAAATATTTGCAGTATATATCAAACCCATGCATATATAAAAATGTGTGTGTATATATAAATTGATATACACAATGTTTGATAAAAATTAATTGATGACAGCATGAGTGTATATATACATACACACACGACAATCAATATCATGCATGATGTCACCATTTTCACAAATTCACATTTTTGACACTGTAATGGTGTTGTTTTCCAAAATGTACACTTTGAAACCTTATTCTAAAAGTGGGACAGTAGTTCTCTTCTGCTAAGATCACATCTCACGCCTCTGTGTTAAATACTTTTTTTGTTTTAAATTATAGTTCAGCGTTTGTCACTTATAACAAAGCATTTTTTTAAAAACATACTTCTGGAACAAACGCCATTGAAAAGGTGGGCAGGAAATAATGCACTCTTGATGAGTTTCATCCTCATAAAATAACAAATTTTAAAAATCCACTGCAGTTGTTATGAATGATTAGATTAAAAGTGATGGAAACCCAAAAGGAAAATATCTGTGGATATAGAAAGAGTTCTCAGGGTATTTTTTATATGTAAGACTGTCAAAGTGAACGAATCTTTTTTCGAGGGTCCTTGATAAGACCCTTATTCATCGTCTGGAATCTTTTAAAGCTGCACTGAAACTGTCTTTAGGACCTTGAACTGTTTGGACCCTATTGAAGTCCATTATATGGAGAAAATCCTGGAATGTTTTCATCAAAAACCTTAATTTCTTTTCGACTGAAGAAAGAAAGACGTGGACATCTTGGATGACATTGGGGTGAGTAAATTATCAGCAAAAGTTTTTTTTTTTTTTAAGTGAACTACTCTATTAAAGGGATAGTTCACCCAAAAAATCAAATTTTCATTGTTCACTCATTCCTTCTTTCTTTCGCTGAACACAAAGGAATATATTTAGAAGATTGTGAGTAAATAGTATTGGGACCCCATTGACTTCCACAGCATGAAAAAAATAAATACTATTGAAGTCAACGAGGTCCATCGACTGTTTGCTTACAAACATTCTTAAAAATCTTATTGTTCAGCAGAAGAAAGAAATTCATACAGGTCTGTTACAACTTGTGGATGAGTAAATGTTAGAATTAACATTTTTGTGGTGAACTGTGCTTTTAAGCGAATGTGAAATGGGATACATAGCTGTGTCCGAAACCACTCAATCGTTCACTCTTTCACGAATCACTAGTTTATGGCATTTGAGTGCACTGTATAGTGGATAAGGAGAGGTTTCGGACACAGCTGACGATTTTAATGTAATAGCGGGCGGGTACAGTCGGCAGCATAACGTCATCATCACGCGTCTCGTGCATTCTGCGTCACAGTTGCGACACACGCGGCTCTTCCGTTCAGCCTGTGTACGCGCATAGACGCGCTTTCATATTTTAATCGTTAATTTATATTAAAAAAACACCCATAATCATGACCGCCGCCGCAGTTCCCGTGAGAAAGAGGCTCCTGAAGGAGGAAGATATGACTAAAATCGAGTTTGAAACGAGTGAGGAGGTGGATGTGACTCCGACTTTCGACACGATGGGCCTGAGGGAAGATTTACTGCGCGGGATCTACGCGTACGGTAAAGACGCTTAATTAATCATTACTTACTGCTGAAATTCACTAGTCACGAAACATCAGATTATAGAGCTGCATATGGGATTTATTCGGAAGTGAGGGAAGAATTACGCGAACGGTACTGATCAATACACGGACATTAGTTACTTTTATCCGTGACTGGCCCTTTAAATAACCATAATAATACCGGTTCCTTTACTTTATATCGTGTTTGTTAGTAACTGAGGCGATTGTGGTAACGTTATTGTGTTAAACTCAACTAGTTCAGTCAGTAGACATTGTTGTGGTATGTATGAATATGTGTGTGTGTGTGTGTGTGTGTGTGTGTGTGTGTGTGTGTGTGTCTATGATATGTTTGTGTGTAAGGCAATGAGAGACTAGAATGCAATTTATATTTTTCCACTAATAAAGTTACTTATGATATTTTTATACTAGAGGTGTAAATATGCATATCATTCTCGCAGCCAACGACAATATATATGCAGATACATAAACAAAATCTTGTGAGACGATTACGATTCATCATATTTTCAACAGATAACCAAATAACTAGCAATACACGAAATAAATGCAGTAAAACAAGCACTCAAATGATCAGTGTTTTTCAGTCAGGTCTAAGAAGTTTTCAGGCACAGAAATTAATCAAGTGTATAATAATAACACTGCATGCTCTTAACTGTATACATTAAATATAGATTTATAATATTAAAGTTATAATTTTTATTTAGTAAAGAGCAGTGAAAGATTGTCCAAATAAAGGGGTCTCAAAAATTATTTTTTACTATTGATTTTTTTTAAAATATGTTTATATTGTTACTCCCCTATTTGATGCGTATAGTGTCCCAGTATATATGCAGGATGGTTACGGTTGCTATCATCATGCTGCCTATTATGTTAATATCTTAAATGATGATTTAATGGTTGTTTCAGGTTTTGAGAAGCCGTCGGCCATCCAGCAGCGAGCCATCAAACAGATCATCAAGGGGAGAGACGTCATCGCCCAGTATGTGTTGTAGACAGTCATGGATCAAATAAACGTTTGTGGTTATGGTGATGTACATTGACTCACGCGGTGTGTGTGTGTGTGTGTTCTCCAGGTCTCAGTCTGGAACCGGTAAAACAGCCACGTTCTGTATCTCCGTGCTGCAGTGTTTGGATATCCAGGTGCGTTGCGCTTTCCGTTCTGATCCGCTTTTCACTTACCGGCCAGTGTTTTAGTGTCATTGCTGTACTACTGTAGCTTTGTGTCAGTATTTTAAATTATATTATATTTAAAGTTCCCCTGTAGTCAATCATTGTATCTCTTAAAAGTCATCTTTGATCACCAAAATGCTTTAAAATATCTTGAATGTAACTCGACACCTTCGCCTCATTTAGTATGAGTTGTTGTATGAATATGCAGATGAGCCCCGCCTCCACTCACTCACTCACTCACTCACTCAGAGATCCACTGGTTGATGATCACACGTTGATCTGATTGGTTACAAGGTTACATTAAACGCTGGATTGGGACTTTCAAGTTAGTTTCAGTTCAAGTTTTTTTTTCGTCACCAGCAATTTTTTTTGTCCATTTTTTCTTTGCGCAGGTTCGAGAGACTCAAGCGCTGATTTTGGCTCCGACCAGAGAGTTAGCCGGACAGATCCAGAAGGTAAAGTCAAGATTTAGCCAAAACATTTATTTTTTTGATCTCGCGTGTCTGACACAGGGTGCTTGAAAGTTAAGTCCTTTAAATCCCTTGAAAATATTATAAAAGGGTGCTTGAATTATTGAAAGACAAGATATGTGAAATTAGTGTGTAATTTTATTGATAAAACTATCTTTTCGTGCAATATTAACGCTGCAGCATGTCTAATATAGGCATTTCGCATGGCTATGAGTGATATTGCTGGTAAATATCATGCAAGTATGTGATCCAGCTTTCAGTCTTCAGCTCAGTCATATATTCATGAGGGATCAGTCTGAAATAGGGAAGCGATATCTTTGTCATTGGTTAAAGTTGGCTCAGTCGTTGCATGTGCTGCACTTTATTTGTTTTACCATTTTCATTTCTATAATTTTTTTTAATAAAGATGTTGTTTAAGTGCGATCTCTGACTGTAGTCCTCAAAAACCCCAAAAGTAGTGCTTGTAAAGTCCATGAAAGTTGTGGGATTTAATTGTACGGTGTGTGTTGTTGTGCAGGTGCTTCTGGCGTTGGGCGACTACATGAACGTTCAGTGTCATTCCTGTATCGGAGGCACGAACGTGGGCGAGGACATCAGGAAGCTGGACTACGGGCAGCATGTGGTGGCAGGAACGCCCGGCCGAGTGTTCGGTGAGTTTAACCGTTCTTCACGTATAATTAAAGGGATGGTTCACCTAAAAATGAAAATTAGCCCATGATTTACGCCAAGGTGTGTATGACACTCTTCTGTCAGACGAACACAATCGGAGGTATATTAAAAAATGTCCTGGCTCTTCCCAGCTTTATAATGCCAGTGAATTTTTTGAAAGTCCATCAAAGCTCATGCAACCGTGATAAAAGTGCTGGAAACGGCTCTCCGGGGTTTAATAAAGGCCTTCTGAAGTGGATGAAAAATATCTACATTCAAAACTTTGGCAAAAATAACGAGCTTCGATTTACGCCTCAACAGTTGAACTTGACGCAAGACGAAAATGTCTTTCTCACTGTACACAACAATCTCATTTCTAAAGAGAAGATCCTGTTGATGAATCTCTTGCAGACATGATCCGCAGGAGGAGTTTGAGGACTCGTGCCATTAAGATGCTGGTGTTGGATGAAGCCGATGAGATGCTCAACAAGGGTAAAGCGTCCTGCGATCCTCCCGCACGCATGCACACCTGTGTCCGCTCTCGCGTGACTCTGAGTTTTGCTTTCGCAGGGTTTAAGGAGCAGATCTACGACGTGTACCGATACCTGCCGCCCGCCACTCAGGTGTGTCTGATCAGCGCCACGCTGCCGCACGAGATCCTCGAGATGACCAACAAGTTCATGACCGACCCCATACGCATTCTGGTCAAACGGTGAGACGCCTGAGCTCATTAAATCACACTCACTGTCTCAATACGACCGCACTCGAGGAGTAAATATCAAACTAGTGTGGAAAGAAAGATGCACAAACTCACTTTAACTACTGTATTATATTTAATACACACCTCCAAATGATCAACATGATATTTTCACACACACTCCTCCAGTCCTGCTGTGTGTGACTGAGAGTTTCGACTCGTTTATCCAGTAAAAGTCTCTCAGTGTGATTGAACAAACGAGTCTCTCGGTGTTCATCAAGTACACGCCAGAATAACTCTGATATTGTTAGTAATATTTCAGCTTTTTTACTTGATTATAATCATTTATTAGAAAAATCACGAGTATCAAATATGATCATCAGGTTATTTGTTCATCTCTCAATCATAAAACTAATCATAAATATCAGCTCACTAAGATGTATTACAGCAGATATTGGTTTTCATATGCATTTTATGTAAATATCTGCTATAAAGGTTTCACTGATTTACATTACAAGCATCAGAATGTCATCACTTATAAATCTCAGCATCCGCAGCAATGGAATTTATATATATATATATATATTTTAAATTCCTCCATATTCTCACTATATCAGACGACATGAGCCATGAAAGCCTGATGTATTAAATATACCTTAGTTTTCTTCTGTCTAAAGGTTCAATAAACGGTTGCATTTCAACTTTATTTTTTTTTTTGACATTTCATATGCTGGGCTTTAAAAGTCAAGTCGCCTTTATTTCTCTAATCATCAGTGATGCGAATAGAATTAATTTCTAGAGCCCTAAAGACTGTTATGTGTGTCACCTGTAGCTGCTCTGTGAGAACACACTGCATGTTGGGTTGACGTTTGCATGTCTCTGCAGTGATGAATTGACCCTGGAGGGCATTAAGCAGTTTTTCGTGGCGGTGGAGCGAGAGGAGTGGAAGTTCGACACGCTGTGTGACCTCTACGACACGCTGACCATCACACAGGCCGTCATCTTCTGCAACACCAAACGCAAGGTCAGCTGCTAAACACTACACACACGGGCTGCTGGGACAGACGAGTGTGTCCGCATCACTATAGCCATCGAAATACATAAAAACGTCCAATCTCGAGCGTTGAATCGTTGCAGTGTTTATGCAGGACGTTCTCCTGTTTGTGAGGGCTGTGCCGTTACTGAATGTGTTCATGCACTAAATTAAATATATTTATTAGTTGGAATATTAGTGTTTTTAAATATGAAAATATATTGTAAAATGTGATTTTTGTGGAAACCGTGAAACATTTTATTTTTCAGGAATCTTTGATTAACAAAGTTGATCAGCATTTATTTGAAAGTAAAGACATTTATAATCTTATAAAAGATTCTATTGTCACTTTTTGATCAATTTAATGCATCCTTGATGAATAGAAGTGTTTTTTAAGCTTTTAAATTGTAATATATAAATATGTATTATACGTAGTCTAACTAGACAAAGCTGATTGGTCAGTGTGTAAGTGCAGTAGCTCCGCCTCTGTCTCGGTTTGACTCCTGCCGTGTGTCTTCAGGTGGACTGGCTGACGGAGAAGATGAGGGAGGCGAACTTCACCGTGTCGTCGATGCATGGAGACATGCCTCAGAAAGAGAGAGAGTCCATTATGAAGGAGTTCAGATCTGGAGCCAGGTAAACTAATACTGCTATAGATCTTACGGAGCTATTCACTCGTGCACGTCACGGTCTTGTAATGTTTAATCGATGTCGTAACTGGATCTTCCAGTGAAGCGTCGGTCTTCTCTAGTGACCTATGCTGGATCCTCCAATCATTTAGTGCCCCTCTAGCTCATGCTCATCTGCATATACTGAGCCACACCCAATCAACAACTGATACACAGAACCAAGCCCCGCCCCTCAAGCTCACGATCATCTGCATACTCTGAGAGCCACGCCCACATCTTAGCACCCAATCAACAACTGATGCACTATTTATTTATTTATTTTTCCATAATCCGTTACACTTGGATGTACGTCACAATACGGACGGGAAGATCTGCCGTCCTTTAACACTGTTCAGTGGATGCAGGTTTATGTCACTCAAGTGTCTGAGATTGTGTGTGTGTGTGTGTTTCTTATGTGCAGTCGAGTGTTGATCTCCACAGACGTCTGGGCCAGAGGTCTGGATGTGCCTCAGGTTTCTCTCATCATTAACTACGATCTTCCCAACAACAGAGAGCTGTACATCCACAGGTACACACACACACACGCCTCAGTCTCACAGTAGTGAGCAAGAAGTAACTCGCTGAGTTCAGCATTTTCATCAGCAAATTAGCATTTTAACATGTTCTAAAATTAAAATTTTATATTTTTTTTAACTATACAGACATTAAAAACAAGGCAAAACACAACAACATTACTAAAACTGGAAAAATATAAAAACTAATTCAAACTTTTAACAATATAACGGTGTCTCAGTGAAGCTGTAATCACACTGATCATGACAGACCGGATGTAGGTGTGTCTGACCTCTCGTGTCTCTCGTCAGGATTGGTCGATCGGGTCGTTACGGCAGGAAGGGTGTGGCCATCAACTTTGTGAAGAACGACGACATCCGTATCCTCCGAGATATTGAGCAGTACTATTCCACACAGATCGACGAGATGCCCATGAACGGTGAGTCCGGCGTCACCTCCTCCGCTTATTAATCATCGTAACCTTTCAATAAGAGGAACTCTTATTATTAATAACACTTAATATTGTTTTATTTGCCACATCACTAACTCAGATTATTAACCCTCTAGTGCCCTTTTTAACCCTTTAAGTGCATGTACTATATTTTAGTTGTTTTTTTATTTAATATTTTGGGGGTTTTTTAGGGGATTTTATGGTATTAAGTTATATTTATGCTGTATTTATAATCTATTAACTTTTTGAGCATAGATCTGAAAATTTAATGATCAAACTTAAGTCTGTGCTCTAAAGTATTCAAGATTTACTACAAAGACGAGGCGTGGCAGACTATTGCTAAGTGAAAAAAGTTATAAAAAATACATTTTTGAAAAATGCACAAACTATTTTAAATTTTTATATGAAATGTATATTTTCAAAAACATGTTTTACTCAAACTGTGGGAAAATCAAAGCCTTTTTTTAATGAGTAAAAAGTAAAAAAAACCGTAAACTTTATCACTCAAAAATGACTCCAGAGCACCAGAGGTTTTAGAAAATCATGCAAAAGTGTTCATTTTCATTTTTAAAAAATCCTCCTGTTAATTAAAAAAAAAAAGTTTTTGTTGACAATGATTCAAGTTGTTTCTTGGTTGGGCACAAAAAATCTCTCTCTCTCTCTATATATATATATATATATATATATATATAAAACTCATTGTGGAACATATCAATGGATTTTTTTTTTTTTGGTACAATTTTATATAAGTTGTTTGTGACATGAATAAAGGCATTATAAAATAAATGAGTGCTAGATTATCACTGTTGAAGATATTCATGTTTTACTGACTTGTGTTTCAGTGGCTGACCTGATCTGAGGGATGAAGTTTTCCAGAACCAGTTTGCTGGCATTTGGATCTTTTATTTTCCACCTTGTAATTCTTTTTTATTTACAGTTTTATGTAGTTTGAGCTCAGATGGGCTGTATTGTGTTTCCTGCGCTTCATTGGGTTTTGTAAATAAAGAATCTTTGTCCATCTTTGATCTGATGTGTTTTATTCTGATTAAGCTGTTAAAGGTTCTGAGTGTTTTCACTGCAGCGTGTGACGTCTAGATGTAGTTGAACAAGTGAGAATTCTAGCATCGGCAAACAATTCAGAAGAAATACTCAACAGTCAGCCCTGATAGATTTGAGTATTAATGGGTCAAGTGTTGAGGAAAAAGATGTCTTTAGCCGGTTCTTGAAAGTGGTTAAAGAGGCAAAGTGGAGTGAAGTAGGAAAACGACGAAACACTTTTCATTCTTTATATTGGTAGTAGTCAGCCATTTAACAAAAACCTCTGCTTATTCCTGCACTGCGCCTTTAAGAGAGATATATTTACTGTCTTTTTACTTACAGTAATTGTTGACCCTGCTCTGTTAGTACTCTCATTAATTCAGGAAATCATTCTCGTGGTGAATGTTTTAAACACCACAGACTGAAACAGTCCACAATGTCTTTAATTTACGTTAATGGAAAATTTAATGTCTTTTGTCTCGTAGTTGTGGTGAATATCCGATATGCTCAATCCTCTTAGGAGGTTATTTACAGCTGGTGGCAGATTACATGCATTGATCTGCTCTCACCTCATGCGGAAACTCTTGCCTGCAAACTCCAAAATCTGCTGTTCTGAGACTGAAATAGGTGTTTTTGTTCTGAATAGGCTATATCTTAAGAAAATAAAAATAGGCTATATATATTAAATTTATCTCTGGTATGGAAGCTTGTTTCTAGAAAGATGAGTTGCATATGCTGTTTCATGTTGATTTAGACTCACTTTTAATAGAATTCATTCTATTAAAAAAGTGTCTTTAAACAACATACTGTGTTAAAGTGTACTTCCTCTAGTGGTGTCGATCAGCATGTGAAGCTGAGATTATCCTGAAGCCGTCTGCTCCTCAGATCCTATTAGCGAAGAAGCATCTCACTGACCGAAACACAGTTAGAGGTGATTTCAGCTTTATCACGCAGATCATGACAGACTCCTTCTGCTTCATCATTTCCACTAATAGCTGAAAGGGGATTCAGTTTCTTTCACATGTAAGTTTGAATTCGTTTATTTATATATTTTCCATATTAGTTAAAGTTTTACCGTCTAATGTTGTATTTATCTTTGAAATATGGCCATATCGTTTTATTCATTTTTATATCAGTTTTTGTTGTAGGCTATTGTGTGTTTGTGTGTGTGAGAGAGTGAGTGAGTGTGTGTGCGTGCGCGGGTTTGAGAGCTAGAGAGAGAGAGAGGGTGCGTGTGTGTTTGTGCATAATCTTGTGTAACGTCACGTCTGCCCGCTTTTTATTGTTAACCGGATTCTCTCAGCAGGAGCTTCTCTGTAAGAGCCGCTCGGGCGCTACTCGGAGAAGCTGCAGGGAAGAGTGTGTTTTTTCATGCCGGGTTGAGCGCGCAGGAGTCGGTATGTCTGTGCAGAATAACCCACTTCAGGTGCACAACATCCCCTGGAGGAACAACAATTTCAGCCTGATGAACCGAGACCCGCCTCTGTCCGACCAGGGAGAGACGATCATCGGCGTGTACCTGCTTATTCTGGGTCAGAATCCTTCATTTACCTAAGTTACCTCAGTCTCACTTTATCATGTTTACCTCAGTCTCACTTTATCATTTTACCTCAGTGTCACTTTATCAGGTTTACCTCAGTCTCACTTTATCATTTTACCTCAGTGTCATTTATCATGTTTACCTCAGTGTCACTTTATCATGTTTACCTCAGTCTCACTTCATCAAGTTTACCTCAGTCTCACTTTATCATGTTTACCTCAGTCTCATTTTATCAAGTTTACCTAAGTCTCACTGTATCAAGTTTACCTCAGTCTCACTTTATCATTTTACCTCAGTGTCACTTTATCATGTTTACCTCAGTCTCACTTTATCATTTTACCTCAGTGTCACTTTATCATGTTTACCTCAGTCTCACTTTATCATTTTACCTCAGTGTCACTTTATCATGTTTACCTCAGTCTCACTTTATCATTTTACCTCAGTGTCACTTTATCATGTTTACCTCAGTCTCACTTTATCATTTTACCTCAGTGTCACTTTATCATGTTTACCTCAGTCTCACTTCATCAAGTTTACCTCAGTCTCACTTTATCATGTTTACCTCAGTCTCATTTTATCAAGTTTACCTCAGTCTCACTGTATGAAGTTTACCTCAGTCTCACTTTATCATTTTACCTCAGTGTCACTTTATCAAGTTTACCTCAGTCTCACTTTATCATGTTTACCTCAGTCTCATTTTATCAAGTTTACCTCAGTCTCACTGTATCAAGTTTACCTCAGTCTCACTTTATCATTTTACCTCAGTGTCACTTTATCATGTTTACCTCAGTGTCACTTTATCATGTTTACCTCAGTCTCACTTTATCATTTTTACCTCAGTGTCACTTTATCAGGTTTACCTCAGTCTCACTTTATCATTTTTACCTCAGTCTCACTTTATCATTTTTACCTCTGTCTCACTTTATCAGGTTTACCTCATTCTCACTTTATCAAGTTTACCTCTGTCTCACTTTATCATGTTTACCTCAGTCTCACTTTATCAGGTTTACCTCATTCTCACTTTATCAGGTTTACCTCAGTCTCACTTTATCAGGTTTACCTCATTCTCACTTTATCAGGTTTACCTCAGTCTCACTTTATCATGTTTACCTCAGTCTCACTTTATCATGTTTACCTCAGTCTCACTTTATCATGTTTACCTCAGTCTCACTTTATCATGTTTACCTCAGTCTCACTTTATCATGTTTACCTCAGTCTCACTTTATCAAGTTTACCTCAGTCTCACTTTATCATGTTTACCTCATTCTCACTTTATCAGGTTTACCTCAGTCTCACTTTATCAGGTTTACCTCAGTCTCACTTTATCAGGTTTTTACCTCAGTCTCACTTTATCATTTTTACCCCAGTCTCACTTTATTAAGTTTACCTCAGTCTCACTTTATCATGTTTACCTCAGTCTCACTTTATCATGTTTACCTCAGTCTCACTTTATCATTTTTACCCCAGTCTCACTTTATTAAGTTTACCTCAGTCTCACTTTATCATGTTTACCTCAGTCTCACTTTATCATTTTTACCTCAGTCTCACTTTATCATTTTTACCTCAGTCTCACTTTATCAGGTTTACCTCAGTCTCACTTTATCATGTTTACCTCAGTCTCACTTTATCATTTTTACCTCAGTCTCACTTTATCATTTTTACCTCAGTCTCACTTTATCAGGTTTACCTCAGTCTCACTTTATCATGTTTACCTCAGTCTCACTTTATCAGGTTTACCTCATTCTTACTTTATCATGTTTACCTCAGTCTCACTTTATCAGGTTTACCTCATTCTCACTTTATCAGGTTTACCTCAGTCTCACTTTATCAGGTTTACCTCATTCTCACTTTATCAGGTTTACCTCAGTCTCACTTTATCATGTTTACCTCAGTCTCACTTTATCATGTTTACCTCAGTCTCACTTTATCATGTTTACCTCAGTCTCACTTTATCAAGTTTACCTCAGTCTCACTTTATCATGTTTACCTCATTCTCACTTTATCAGGTTTACCTCATTCTCACTTTATCAGGTTTACCTCAGTCTCACTTTATCAGGTTTACCTCAGTCTCACTTTATCAGGTTTACCTCAGTCTCACTTTATCATTTTTACCCCAGTCTCACTTTATTAAGTTTACCTCAGTCTCACTTTATCATGTTTACCCCAGACAGCAAACTGACATTGAATCAACGTGGAAACAACGTCTCTCATGACATTGAAACAACGTTGATTTTGCTCATCGAATTAACGTTGAACCAACGTCAGATGCGGCATTCTTCAAAGCTAAATGAAAATCGAAAATTGGTTTGCTTTCATAACGTTGAAACAACGCGTTGATTTCAAGTTGATTTTCCATTAGTTTTGAAAGAATGACGTGTCTGACGTTGGTTCAACGTTAATTCGATGAGCAAAACTATGTCAGATCAACGTTGTTTCAATGTCATATTTCCACGTTGATTCAATGTCAGTTTGCTATTTATCATGTTTACCTCAGTCTCACTTTATCATGTTTACCTCAGTCTCACTTTATCAGGTTTACCTCAGTCTCACTTTATCATTTTTACCTCAGTCTCACTTTATCAGGTTTACCTCAGTCTGACTTTATCATTTTTTCCTCAGTCTCACTTTATCAGGTTTACCTCAGTCTCACTTTATCAAGTTTACCTCTGTCTGACTTTATCATGTTTACCTCAGTCTCACTTTATCAGGTTTACCTCAGTCTCACTTTATCAAGTTTACCTCTGTCTCACTTAATCATTTTTACCTCAGTCTCACTTTATCAGGTTTACCTCAGTCTCACTTTATCAGGTTTACCTCAGTCTCAATTTATCATGTTTACCTCAGTCTCACTTTATCAGGTTTACCTCAGTCTCACTTTATCAGGTTTACCTCAGTCTCACTTTATCAGGTTTACCTCAGTCTCACTTTATCAAGTTTACCTCTGTCTCACTTAATCATTTTTACCTCAGTCTCACTTTATCAGGTTTACCTCAGTCTCACTTTATCAGGTTTACCTCAGTCTCAATTTATCATGTTTACCTCAGTCTCACTTTATCATTTACCTCAGGCTCACTTTATCATTTTTACCTCAGGCTCACTTTATCATGTTTACTGCTTTTTTTATTATTCTTACTATACATTATACAGGCAGTCTTCAAGTGTTTTATCTGCATCTATCTTTTTTGGTCTGTTAGCACATAGTCTACAGTAGAACTGTGCAAAATAAATAAATTAAACAATAAGATTAAAATAAGTAAATAAATTAGGTAAATAAATGGATTAGAAAATGATTGCAATTATAATTAGTTAGTTGTTAATTTATTAAATAGATTAAATTAGATTCAAATAAATATATAAAACGTACAATTTAATAAACAGACAAATAAACAATACATTTTACAGTACATTACTGTAGTGAGTCGAAAAAAAAATAGAATAATGTAACTTAATATAAACTCATTTAAGTTTCAAAATATTAATATTACAGATTATAGTGTTTATAGATGTGTTTTAAATGTTAGGATGGGGTCGATGATATGAGGATGATCATATTTGAGTGTAAAAGATGGAAAAGCCCTGCATTAGCATGTTGCATATGAAGTTTTATAGTTATTGTTCCAGGTTTTGTTTCTCCCGTCTGACTGTCGTGAAGAACTGGTGGATTAGAGCCGCTAATCTATCCGCCTGTCTGTCAGGGTCATTAAGAGTTAATCAGGACGAGTTTATTACTGGAGCACGAACTCTGATCTACATTAACTACATCCATTACAGTCATCATGATATCAGATTTAGATCTAATTATTATTACTACTATTACTATCTACAGTAACATTCTGTGTGATGTTTGTTGCTGTGTGCTGGAGTTGGTCTTCTGGGTCCAATGCATCAGTTCTTTTTTGAGAATCACTGCGTAATGTGTGTGTGTGTGTGTGTGTGGTCTTCTGGATCCGATAATGCATTCTTTTTTGAGAATCATTGCATAAAGTAGTGTTTGTTTGTGTGTGTTTGTTTGTGTGTGTGTGTGTGTCTTGCTGTGTGATGGAGTTGGTCTTCAATAGGGATCTTCGTCTGTTACGTCACGATGTGGTTACCTGTGCTTTGGTTGGAAGAAAAGTAAATGTGGCCAAATGTGGCCATGTGTTAGGGCTTTTGCTCCAATTCTTTCTATGTTGTTTTTATTTGAGCTTTTTATGCATTTTACACATTGGAACGTTGTTGCTGTTCACGCTCAGGGACTATTTTTTCTAGCGGAAGGAAGGCTTTTAATGATTTTGCTTTAAGAAAGTTGAACTAATACATTGTTTTTTAATTTAATATTGTGTTGCAAGCATTTTATAAAAGCAATAAGGTACTTGAGGCAAGTGCTGTATCGTAAATAAGTAACGGCTGAAGGGGTTACTCCGCTTCGCGTCGTGCCTAACAACGCCCTTCAGCCATTACTTATTCACGATACAGCACAGCCTCTCGTACCTTATTGCTTACATATATCTGATGTTATTATGTTTTTTGGTCTCCTTACATAACTTCGGAATAAATAGTTGCAATAATGTTTTCTGAAGTGTAATATTTGTTTTTGTCTTGTTTATGCTCCTCTAACGCCTAAATTACCCCTTGGGGATAAATCAAGTTTTATAATCATCAAAGTAAAAAAAACTGTGTGTGTGTGTTTTTCAGGCTGGTTGTCGTGGTTTGGGAACAGTATCGTGATCTTCATCCTCTTCAAGCAGAGATCGTTCCTCCAGCCCACCGATTACCTGACGCTAAATCTCGCCATCTCGGACGCCAGCATCTCTGTGTTCGGATATTCCCGAGGAATCCTCGAGATCTTTAACGTGTTCAAGGACGATGGATACCTCATCACCTCTGTGTGGACGTGCCAGGTACAGGAATTATGGGTAGTGAGATCGTTAGGTTGTGTGTTCATTACAGCAGCATCTCTAATAGATTAATCAGCGGTTATTACTCCTTTTGTTCGTCACACGTCATTAACGACACTCTGTGTGAAACTCGGCACATTTGTAGTGATTTGACCAACTTTAGGGTCTCTAGGACCAACTCTACAGCGCCACCACCAGGTCAAAGATTCACATTTCACTTTAGTTTGATGGTGCATTTAATACATTCTGGTGACTGCAAGTAACGTTGCACCTACATGACTACTAACTCTCATTACAGTATAAGTGGCGTATTAGTAGACTGTTAGAGTTAGCGACATGTAGTTGCAAAGTTATAGCATCACAATAAAGAGTTAGCAGATCCTAATACTCTAAGGAGAGTTAGTTGACATGTAGTTGCAAATTTACTGAATGTTCAAAAGGGACCATCCAAATAAAGTTAAACCGAAACAGTTATAACTTTTGAACCTTTGTTCTAGAAAAATGAAACTTCATTCCTCTCTTCGCGCTGATCAAGGTCATCTTACATTAAGACTCCGCCCATTACTGTGGTGGCCATTTTGAAAAGCACAGCATTACATTTTTTGCTACTACTTCTTCAAATCTTCTCCAATACTTATGAAAATTGGCACAGATGATCTTGCACTGAGTCGTATGAAAATAACCGAACACATTTATTTATTCATGAAACGTTACGTTTTTACGAACTTAACGAGGTAGACCCAAAATTGGTTCAGAGGCTGTATCTCGGCCAAACTTTGATCAATGGAAATGAAACTCAGTACTCGTCATCGGAACCATGATCTGAGGGTCCATGCCAAATTTGGGAACAGCGCCACCAACAGGTCATGAGATCTGAAAAATGGCTATTTTTGCTCATGACGTTTGAAGAGTTTGTTAGAAGATGAGAACGAAACCCCTGAGATCTGAGGCCAGTTGCATATACACCGCCATGATGTTACGATTGTGTCTTGAGAACTAGTGTGACCAACAGGCAGGTACTAATCAGTCTTAATTTTCAGTAACAAATCGGACCAAAAACAAATGAATAACTACCTTGAAAGACTAGTTTTAGCAGTATATGTAACCAGCCCCTGGACCTTATAGTTATATTAGCTAGCTTATACATCATATGGATGAACTTGTTTTATGAAACAGCTGAAGTGTTAAAATCATATGGTGTTTTTACAGATGATAATAATGGATGTGAGATCTTTCTGATTCTGTCCTGTGAAACGTGTCGGTCAGTGTCCGTGTCGAGTGTGATTTAAACCCATTAAGGGCTTCTGGATTGAAAGCTGATGAATGACGGTCTCAGAGAGGTGTGATTGGAGTAGTTTCTGTCTCACACACACACTGGCAGCGGAAACACAGCCATCAATTCTCGCATTTCAAAGAGACTCCATTAAAATGCCATTAAGTGATGTTATAATTGTGTCTGTCATTAATTGAGTCAAAGGTAATTCCGATCATCCACATGCTTTTATGAGGCCAAAATGAATAGATGTAATTTTATTGTGTTTTATTGTTAGGCACGTTGCAAAAATATGTTATTGCACATTGAATTTTTGTTCTGAGGACAAAAGCTAGATGTTTGAAACTAGCTCAGACTCGAAAAGAAGTGAAAAAAGGTGAAGATGCAGATTTGTCTCATATTGACAATGGTTATTTTGATAAAAATGGATTGATTTGACAGTTTTCATGCATGTGTGTGTCCTCTGGGTCCTCAGGTGGACGGGTTCTTCACGCTGGTGTTCGGTCTCGGCAGCATCAACACACTCACCGTCATCAGCCTCACCAGATACATTAAAGGATGCCACCCGAGTAAAGGCAGGGACGTCTACGTTACAGCTTTAGCTCCACGTCACTGAGCGAGTGTGTTCTGATCTGAGCTGCTGTTGTGTTTGTTCACAGCTCACTGCATAACCAACACCACTGTGATCGTGTGTGTTATCTTCATCTGGATCGGAGCCTTGTTCTGGTCCGGCGCGCCAATCCTGGGCTGGGGAAGCTACACAGGTCATAAGAACATCATGTGGAGATATACACACTCTCACTCACTCACTCACTCACACACACTCTTATATATATGCATGTAGAGAAGTGTGTCTTTCTCTCTGTTTGGCAGATCGAGGGTACGGCACCTGTGAGATCGACTGGGTCAAAGCGAACTATTCCACCATCCACAAGTCCTACATCATCTCCATCCTCATCTTCTGCTTCTTCGTGCCCGTGCTGATCATGCTGTTCTCCTACGTGTCCATCATAAACACGGTGAAGCGCGGCAATGCCATGTCAGCGGAGGGCGACCTGACCGACAGGCAGCGCAAGATCGAGAGGGACGTCACTATTGTGAGTCTGGCTGTGTTCAGGAGCGGGACGAGCATGAGATACGCAAGCGTTCATTATTTTACAGTTATAATAAAACGAGAGAGAAATATGATGCGTTTCAGGGTTCACATTAATCATGTGGTACAATTGTCAAAACTGATACATAAGGAAAAATGAAGTGATAAACTTTGACAAAATGTGATTGTAATTGTAATAATAGTGATTTTATAATGTCTAAAAATGAATACGAAAGCAAACCGTGTGAAAAGGACGGTGTTAGTGAGTAGAGTGACTAAATGAACATTATAACAGTAGATGGCTCTCATTGGCTCAATTTAAGTGTTTAATATGAGTAAACCACTAAAGTAAAGCACATTTTCCATGTTAACTTCATAAAGCATGCTTACACATTGCGTTTTTGATTGCTGTTGCGCCCCTTACTGGCCAATCAGGGCAAAACCTTCAAGTTATCTTTATTCATGCAGCACTTTTTACAACACAGTGTGTGTCAGAAAAGCTTTACTGAGATAACCAGAGGATAACGCAGCAGAGTGTGTATCCAGAAGAGAAGAGCGTCAGTCCAGCTTAAGGAAGTTTCTGCTGTAATAGAGTTATTAATATAGTTCATATATATATATATATATATATATATATACAGCCACTCTGGAGTAACCTGTGACGTCATCGTCCAGCTCAGCTCTCATATAATGCAGGAGATCAATAATATTGCTGAATATTAAATTAAATGTCCACAACTAAGCAAGACTAAAGCCAAAAGTGGCAAGGAACCAGAACTAAACAAAAATCTGAAAAATTGCTATAGCGCTGACCCGTAATCATGTCATCAGTGTGACGCTCGCTTCTGGTTGGTCCTCAGGTGTCCATTGTGATCTGCACGGCGTTCATCCTGGCCTGGTCTCCGTACGCCGTGGTGTCCATGTGGTCGGCGTGGGGTTTCCACGTGCCCAACCTCACCAGCATCTTCACGCGGCTCTTCGCCAAGTCCGCCAGCTTCTACAACCCGCTCATCTACTTCGGCTTGAGCTCCAAGTTCCGAAAGGACGTGAGTGTGTTGCTGCCGTGTAGCGGCGACGGAAAAGACACCGTCAAACTCAAGCGCTTCAAAAAGATCAAGGGGAAGGCGGAGGGGGCGTCGCCCGCAGCCCCGCGGCAGCGCTACAGGAGACCCGACGAGCACCGCCACTTCCTGCAGATCGAGAAGAAGAACCGCGACGGAGAGCCGGCAAACCCCACCCCCAGCCTCCGCCCCGAGACTCCGCCCCCCATCGGCAAACAGGTGTACTCCATCACTGCGCCCGCGCCGTCAGACACGCCCGAGTACGAGTGCGCCAGACTGTAGATCACCAGGGACGTGATCGTGGACGATTTTTATTTCATACAGAACAATAACAACATACAGAGCATCACAATGCATTCAGATATTATTTATTACATTCATTATAGCATCAAAGGAAATAGAAAAACAATACATACTAATAAATGATATGTGAGCGACTTCAGTTTCATGGTAATGATGTAAGCGGCGTGAAAACCTATTTTTGTAAATGATGGATGTAAATGTGAAATATTGTTTTTTAACAACTGTATACATCTGCATTTTTAAAGACAGTTTTGTGTTTACATGCACTTTATCACAAGATATTAAACTCCAAACATCAAACATAATGATAACAATCCAGTTGTTTTTATTTTCTTTCAGACTCGCACACTCTCTTGAGCTGATAATTGTTTTCTATATTTTATTGTATACCCCTGTCGACTTTTTCGGTGCAAAAAAAGTTTCTCTGATCTTCTTGAAACTCTGGATTCTGATAGAGGGCCATGAGACTTAGACCCTTCCAGAGCTGAGATATTGAGATCCCACAAAGGGTCTAGAGCCTCCATTTTTGCACTCAGGTTTAAGTCTCATGGCCCTCTATCAGAATCCAGAGTTTCAAGAAGATCAGAGAAACTCAAAATTTCGACAGTGGTACCCCTTTTGTTTTTTTGTGTTTTGGGCGAAAAATGAAGTTTCTCCAATCTTCTCAAAACTTTGGATTCTGATAGAGGGCCATGAGACTTAAACCTGAGTGCAAAAATGGAGGCTCTAGACCCTTCCAGAGCTGAGATATCGAAACTCAAAAATTCGACCCCCAAAAAAAACGACAGTGGTACCCCTTTTGTTTTTTTTGTGTTTTGGGCGAAAAATGAAGTTTCTCCAATCTTCTCAAAACTCTGGATTCTGATAGAGGGCCATGAGACTTAAACCTGAGTGCAAAAATGGAGGCTCTAGACCCTTCCAGAGCTGAGATATCGAAACTCAAAAATTCGACCCCAAAAAAAAACGACAGTGGTACCCCTTTTGTTTTTTGTGTGTTTTGGGCGAAAAATGAAGTTTCTCCAATCTTCTCAAAACTCTGGATTCTGATAGAGGGCCATGAGACTTAAACCTGAGTGCAAAAATGGAGGCTCTAGACCCTTCCAGAGCTGAGATATCGAAACTCAAAAATTCGACCCAAAAAAAAACGACAGTGGTACCCTTTTGTTTTTTTTGTTTTTTGGGCGAAAAATGAAGTTTCTCCAATCTTCTCAAAACTCTGGATTCTGATAGAGGGGCATGAGACTTAAACCTGAGTGCAAAAATGGAGGCTCTAGACCCTTCCAGAGCTGAGATATTCGAAACTCAAAAAATTCGACCCCAAAAAAAAACGACAGTGGTACCCCTTTTGTTTTTTTTGTGTTTTGGGCGAAAATGAAGTTTCTCCAATCTTCTCAAAACTCTGGATTCTGATAGAGGGCCATGAGACTTAAACCTGAGTGCAAAAATGGAGGCTCTAGACCCTTCCAGAGCTGAGATATCGAAACTCAAAAATTCGACCCAAAAAAAAAAAACGACAGTGGTACCCTTTTGTTTTTTTGTGTTTTGGGCGAAAATGAAGTTTCTCCAATCTTCTCAAAACTCTGGATTCTGATAGAGGGCCATGAGACTTAAACCTGAGTGCAAAAACG